TCCGCGGCGCGACGATCGTCGCGTCGGCCGCCGGCCGGTCGCTCAACGTCCACGAGGACGACGTCGTGCTCGCGCTGCCGCCGGACACGCCGCCGCCGCCCCACGCGCGGGCGCACCTCCGGCGGCGGCGGGCCCTCGGCGCGCCGCCGCCGGAGCGCCTCGCCCTGCCGCCGGCGGAGCCGGAGCCGGAAGCGGCGCCGCCGCCGTTCGAGGACCCGCTCTCGCAGCTCCTCGCGACGGCGCCCGCGGAGGACCCGCTCTCGCAGCTCCTCGCGACGGCGCCCGCGGAGCCGTCGCAGCTCCCAGCTCCGCCGCCCCTCGACGGCGCCTGGGCCGACGCCTGGGCCGCGCGCGGCCCCGCGGGGCCCTGGGCGTCGCAGGTCCGCGCCGCGGCCGCGTGCGAGGTGGACGACCTCGCGCGCGCGCGCGACGGCTGCGGCGCCGAGGTCGCGCGGCTCCGCCTCGAGGCGCCGAGCGCCGCGCGGACCGCGGCGCTGAAAGCGAACGCGCTCCGCGTCGACCTCTGCGACGACGCGCTCCGCGCGCGCGGCGGCGGCGCGGCGCGACGCTACGTCGCGCCCGGCGACGGGCCGCGCTGCGTCTGCGGCGAGGACCGCGGCGGCCTCGACTACTGCGTCGCCTGCGGCGAGTGCGCCGCGGCCGCGCCGCCGCCGGCCGCGCCGCCGCCGGCCGCGGCGCCCGCGCCGGCGCTCACGGCGACGCAGAAGCGGGTTCGGGCCGAGGAGAACAAGCGCGCGGCGCTCGCGAGGCTCGCGGCGAAGCGCGCGCGCGCGACGCAGGACCTTTCCCAGCGCGCGCCGGCCGACCGGCGCGCGCCGCCGCCGGCCTCCCAGGACGCGACGGACGCGCTCCTCGACGAAGCCGACGACGGCCTCCCCGGCCCGCCGCGGCCGCCGCGACCGCCGTCTCCGCCGCCCGCCGCGCCGCCGCCGCCGGAGCCGAAGCCGCCGTCTCCGCCGCGCGCGCCGCCGCCGCCGTCTCCGCCGCGAGCCGCGAGCCCGCCGCCGGCCGCGCCCAAGTGGTCCTGCGACGCGTGCACGTTCAAGAACCTGGCGTCGGACTCGACGTGCGACGTCTGCGACGCGCCGCGGCCCGGCGGCGCGCCGCCGGCCCCCGCGCCGCCGCCCGAGCCGCCGAACGACGCGGACGCCGTCGACGACCTCCTCGACGGGTTCGGCTGTTAACCTCGGAGTGGACCGACGTTCCAGCGCGAAGGACGGGGGGCGGGGGAGGCGCGGCGGCGGGCTCACTTGGCCTGGGCGACGAGGACCTTGAGCGCCGCGTGGAGCGCCTTGGCCTCGTTGGGCGTCGCGCACTGGACGTCGAGCGTGCGGTCGGGGAGGATGAGGGAGAAGGCCTGCTTGCCGACCTCGGGCCCGAGGGCGGACTTGCGGAGCGTCTCCGTGCCGGCCATGCCGCCCGCGCGCTTCTCCGACGCGCCGATCGTCGTCGGGTCGAGCTCCGTCGCGAAGCGGACCTCTTGCACGTCCTTGAGCGCGAGCATGGTCGCCTCCTTCTGGCCGGCCTTCCAGCCGAGCTTGTCGCCGGCGCCGCTGAGGACGAGCGCGCGCGGGCGGATGCGGCCGTCGCGGCAGTGCTTGAGGACGGGCACGCCCGCGGCCCCCCGGAGCTCGGCCTTGACGGCCTCGAGGTTGACGACGACGGAGTCGGCCCGCATCACGGGGCTCTTGGGCGTCGCGGCGGCGGCCGTCGCCGCGGCGCCGGGCGCGTCCGACGCCTTCGCGGGGCTCTCGTTTCCCTTGGCGAGCTCGGCGGCCGACGGCTCGAAGACGGGCTCGCCGCGCGCGGGCGCGGGGGGGAAGTCGCGGGACGCGAGGCTCGCGGCGGGGTCGGGCGTCGCGACGTCGTCGAAGGGGCCGCCGGCGGGCGCGACCTGCGGCGCCGGCGTCGGCGCCGAATCTTCGACGTGCACGGACACGACGAAATCGCTCACGTTCGACGACGACACCTCCGTGCGCTCGAAGCTCGGGGAGTCGCGGCCCACGCTCTCGTCGTAACAGAAGCACGAGAGGAGCGAATCCTGGATGGGGGTCGTCGACGGCGCCGGCGCGGCCGTCATGATTAGTCTATGATTTTCTACTGCCGGACGTGCAAAGGCAAAATCGCTCAAAATCTCCCCCGGGAGGCGTTCAGGGAGGTTTCCAGGGATAAGCCACCCCTACAGCATCGCGTTCATGTCGTTCTCCATGCCCGCCTCGGCGTCGTTCGCCAGGCGGGCTTCGCGTCCAACAACGCCACGCACTAGACCACGAAGGTCGGCGCGGAGAGGAACGCGGCGACGACGACGCCAGGGCCAACCACGACTAGCCCGCGCGCAAGCTCAGCATCTCGGGCCCCGCGAGGGCCTTTGTAGCTTGCTCGTAGCCCTTGGCAGCGGCGCGCTCGAACCAGTATCTGGCTTTGCCGAGGTCGACTTCCGTGCCTTGTCCGTCCATGTAACAAACGCCAAGGTTGCACTCCGCATGGGCATAGCCTTGATCCGCCGCGAGCACGAAGTAACGGAATGCTTCTTCAAATTTATCCGCAGAATGAAGGAAAGCCCCTGAATTGTTTTGCGCGACCGCGTCGCCCCGGTCTGCGGCCGCGCGATACAGCTGCTCCGCCTTCTTCTTGTCCAGCTTAACACCGCTTCCATGCTCGTACAATGTCCCAAGGTTCATCATCGCGTCCACGTCCCCGAGCTCCACGGCACGCCGGTAGATCTTCGCTGCTTTTTTATCGGATTGCACGAGGCCGAACTCACGGTCGCCATCGCGGTAGCAATCTCCCAAATATGTAATCGCTTCCGGCACCTCGTTCTCCACATGGCGGCGAAGACGCGCGAGCTGCTCCGCCTCGGTTGTCGCGCACGGTATGCGACAGA